TTCATGAGAAAAAGGAGCAAACCACACCAGAGCACCCACCAACAACCCACTAAGGACTCTTTGGACACATCGCTACCTCAGAATTACAAAGTTCTATCTGCTCAGAACCTAGTTTTGAGAAATTTGACGTCAAGGCTTTTTGAGTTTCACATCATTTCAAGTTTTGTCGAATACGATTCTTTGAATATCTTGATGACGACTCCGAATAATCTTACAATTTTGATAGTATACAGATAGAGCTTTTGGTTTCTGACCTCATGGTCTTAGCAACTCAGAACAGCCATAAATGTTACACAGAGCTTTCTAATTCTGAGGTAGCGACATGCCATTAAGTCCGATCAGCAGAAAAAACCAAAGTCAATGATGTTGCACTGTTGAAAACATATTTATGCAAATCAGAAGCAACAACCTCTTCCTCTTTCATGGTAAGAATGTTATTTTCCTGCCTTTTTTAAGTTTCCGATACAGAAAATAGAGTTTTTTAAAAAGTATGTACAAATAGCGAAGTTGTGGTTCTTTTTCAACATGCCTCTTTAGGCGTTGTTGAATAACCAGAATGTGCAGCGTTATCAGGGAGTTAAACCTGTTTAACCCTATCCGTACGCCGTGTTTTACTACCGTATCCATACGATGTGGGGAACTCTGTGTCACCTCTTAACCCAATCCGTACGTCGTGTTTTACTATCGTATCCATACGATGTGGGGAACTCTGGGCCACCACTTTCCAAAGAGGAAATTTACTCGTTAATCCGATCCGAACACTTTGCATAGCAATCTGTCAAAATAATTTTTTGAAAAATACTGAAAGTTTCAAAGAGATCTTCGCACTTGAAGTATTCTAAAATATGAAGAATACAACCCCGGGGCTACAAAATGACCCACAGGGCGTACGGATAGGGTTAAAGGCCAAAGGCATCGTTTATTTTGCTTTAGTCTTCTTGTTCTATTTTGTATTTATCTATTATTTTTTTGTTTGTTTAAGGTATCTTTATGTAAAAAGAGAAGCATTGGGGGGGGGGGGACACACACACACACACACACACACACACACACACACACACACACACACACAGGGTGAAAGCCAGACAGACAGACAGAACGCCAACATAGGAGGGGAGGGGGGAGCAGGATATACCAGTAGCGCCCTCCAATCGCCTGCTGTTTTTTGTTAGATCCAATTTGCCGATCGACGGAGGTGACGTATGAGGCCGTCAGGCTGAGATCAGTGACCTGTGCCACGCCTCCTTTCTGCTCTCAGCCCCCAGACCTTTTCGTTCTTCCAAAGTTATTTTATTAAAGTAAGAGTATGATCACTTTTTTTTGAGAAACGAAACAAAACGATCCAAATGCATTACTACTTCTTAAAATATACATGTTAACGACGCTTTCTTTAAGGCATGACTGCGGGCGATTGGTGGGTGCTCTGTGTTGGTTTTCTTCTTCTTCTCCTCCCACTACTTCCTTTCGTCATTTACTACCCTCCCTCAACTGTCATGTTTGTTTCTCTCTTGTAACTCTAATCTTCGTCTCGTTTATGACCTAAAGAGTTGCAAGTGCCTTAAAACCTCTATCAAACCATCATCAAGGGTGACTTATCTGGCATATAACCCTTAGTCCTTTAAAATTGGTCACTGGGATCATTATCTCAAATATTTTAAAAATCAGTTAGGATATGCAGTGTTTCGAATTTACCATCCCGGGATTAATGTGATGCAGGATACAGTATCCCAACAGAAAGGCCGGAGATGCTCTAAAAACTTGACTTCCTGACACGCCAAACGAACTGGTATCTTTTGAGCACCACGGCGAAGACGTCTCACTATTGCCCCACAGACGTTGGCTAAGTCTTAAATTCACTTCTTGCGATCCCCTTTCCAGACATACTGTTCTGATCTTTTCCCTCTCATTCTTGATTTTAAATTCATTTCTCCGGCCTTCATAATGCTTATTTTTGCCGGGTATCGCGTTAGGCCTATACAAAAACAATTTATGTACCGGTAATTTCATTTCACGTTGGAGTCGTCTACGAGTGATGTGACTGTCTGGTTATAAGAAAAAGCTTTAATTAACTCGTCGATTTCAAATCTGTCTTCCCGAGTTTCGGGCTAATAATCTTTAAATCCAAACAATGGACTCATCAGCGATGGGCAGAAACTTAATCTTTTTTTCTCCTCAAAGTTCCAAAAGGGATGATGTAGACAAATTCAATTGATTAGACCAATGGTTAAGTCTCACGGCGATGTCTAGCCCGATGTACTTACGCCGGAATGTTATGTCTGCAGACAGTAATTCACTACTCCAGTTCTGAAATGGAACAGCAGTTGAATGATGAGCTAATAAAGCCAAGTAGCCAAGGTTGTAAAGATTCTTGTTTGAAAAGAGCAAGATTCGATTCTCTAGAGTAGAAATAAACTGGATCGTTAGAAGAAAAAAAAAAGAGATGAGAAGAGAATTAGTCTGAGAACTTGATGTCTAGAATTTCTTCAGGTTTTTAGTTTTACACGTCCAAAAGAATTAGCCAGACGGTCTGCGCTCAGGTTCGCGTAGGTTCACCCTTTCTTTCTCGCAAATGTTTGCAAATATTTTATGTACCCTACCAATTCTCATTGTTTGGGTAATTTAGGAGAATGGCTGATTTGATATTTCCTGAGATGGCAACTGGGATGAATCCCAGAGATCCACATGATGAATATTGATGTTGTTATAACGGGTGCCAAAACAAAAATAAAAAAGAGAGAAAAGAAAAAAAAAGCATCCAAAGGAAAATAACTCTGTCAACTTTAGACCTACGGAAAAAAACTTGAAACAAATACATTTCAAACTTGGCCGGGGGGGGGG